GAATTTATAGAATATTGTAAAAATTATGGTCTATTACCAACATATATATATGTATATATATATATATATATATATATATATGTATGTATATATGTATATATATATACATATATTTGTATATGTGCATCGGTTTAACTATTTTTCAATTTTTTTTTAAACACGTGCAATAGAACAATATTTTTGTAATTATTATTTTCTTTTTGTTAATTTGTTGTTTGTTATATCTCCAGCAACTCATTCAATTTTTTTGCAAAATTATTAACTTTTATATTTTCTTTGATCTGTTTCATTTTGTTCAAAGTATTGTTTCCTGGCACTATACGGCGTTGTACTAATTTTTTTTTGGTTCATGATGTAAATTTCACAAGTTCAGTGGCATTTATATTAGCATCACATAAAACTTCATTTGTCAAATTGGTCTTCTGTACATTCTGCTCTTAATATTTTCTTCTTTTTTTGATGCAATTCGCTTTCTTTATCCTTGGTTGAAATTATGAATGGTAATTCCAAGAAGAAAATTTTCAAAACTCGCTAAGAAAACTAAAACACTTGTTATTATTTTTACATCGGCTGAGATTCTAATTATCAGTTGCCAGTTATAATAGGAAGCAACTGGATAATTTGTTTCTTTTCAGCTCACGTGCAGCCCTGTGTTTTTTCTATTAGTTTTTTTTGTTATTTTCTAAGCAACATTTTTTTACAAACTTTCAAGTTTTTTATTTTTGTTTGCTTTAAAAATGTTCATTGATTGTATGTGCTAAAACTTTAAACTCATGACACACAGCCTATCTTATTTTTGCATACAAAATGGAGGCATGTGGTTTTTAGGTGAAATGTTAACTAGTCGCTCAGTCATTTTTCACTAATTCATCCGTCATGTAAACTTTCTCATCTGTTTCTTTTGTTAATACTGGTACTTCAGTAATTCTTCATCGATAACCATTTTTTTTATTTATGTTAATATTTTTGTGGAACCAAAATCAGCCCATATTGTTTCTAAAATAATTATTTTAATGTTGGTTTGTTTGATATTTTTTGACATTTGCCAAAAATTGATACGAATATGCCAAATTCGTTTTCTCCTTGTCGGTCGCTTACACAAACACATTTACTAAATTATTTCGTTAAAATAAAAGTTTTCATTTGAAATTATTGATCGTGAAAAATTTGAATCATTACGTATATTGAATTATGATATTATAACGGATGAAAATCAGTTTCGGTAAAGCTTCTCACCATTATTGTCATCATCGTAGCTAGGACCGCTTGTTCAATTGTTTTCTTTTTTTTCTTCTGCTCCAAAGTTTCGGTAAATAAAAGAATCCTGTACATTTTATTTCCAACAGTTTAGTGCACTATTTTCATAAGATTCTTTATTTATTTTCACTTTTAAAACAATTAACAATCAAAAATCTGTTTGAGTAATTGAACTATATATAAATATATTTATGTACAATAACGTACATAATTGTTTGTGTGTGACTATATTAAATATTTTATTTATTTGATTAAACTATGATTAAAGGTAAATTATTATTTTTAACTGAATTGCAAGTAGGTGATGAACGTTGGATGGATATGTTGAAGAATGTGTAGCAACATAAATTAATGTGCCTTCACATAATCATCTCTTAGGGTACACACACGTTTACGAGAGGACAGTTTCTTTTGTATATTTCCTTCAATTAACGTAATAAATATTATTTCATTTTTGTATTATTTAAAATTTCTAGCGTTTTTTAAACTTTGAACGCTATTTTAATGGGATCGTTTTGAATGCATGTGTGCGTGTGCATGGTGGTGATTTAATTTGAACGATACATCTCAAATACCGTGCGTGGGATCACATTTAAATTTCTATTTTCACATTGAATAAACACTTATATTCATTTATGTTCGAATGTTTTCGAACAGTGTCCTTCAAAAATTCTGTTCAACGATTCGTAAGAACGAATTAATAATGGAATATAAGGAAACAAATAAAAATAATAATATAATGAAGATTGAACAGATTTGTTATGAGACAAAGTCGACCCACAATAACAAATTATAATACTTCCACGTAAACATGGCAGTAACAAAGTAACAGTAACAAAGAATTGAATGTAAACTTTAGTGCGTAGTCAAGAAATATAAAATACTCCGTTGTGGAATGACGAGAAGTTATGTAACTCCCAAAACGTTGCACGCGTTAATTATAAGTTAACTGTCTTGGGAACAATTTAAATTCAATTGAATTCTTAATATTACTTTAACTTTTTATTTGAGATGGATTTACTTATCATATTTTACAAACGATCGTCAGGAAATTCTGAATAGGACATGAAAATTCAAAAAATTGACTATTTGACTTGACATTGACTACTTTTAATTGAATTTTTAAAAAATCGACAAATTCATTATAATTGTACAAAAACAAACATATCAAAAAAATTAATTGAACATATCAAATTCAATTTGATACTTCTAGCAAATCTGTCATTTGTCGAATCATCCGTCGATATTTAATCTTTTGAAACCTAGATCTCAACCTAAAATCTGTAATTCTTTATGATTAGGTCTGAGAAAGTGTTTGCTTAGTTTTATGAGAAATCGTTAGTAAAATTTTTTCTAAACTGTAAAATTATCATTTAAAATACCATTACATGCCTCCAATAATTAAGCGTTTATTGTGACGAATAAAGATTTATTTTAAATAGTCTGCTAAAAATTGTGCATCAATAAACAATAAAAAGAGTTCCTTAAATTTTCCAGTTAATTTTTCATTTTTTCACTGATCTGATTTGTAGTTAGCATTGCAGCTAAAATAACTACCTTTAAATGAGTTGCAATATGAGTTAGGTTAGTGATGGCGGTCACTGAGATTACCTTGTCTCACTTGTCCATTTGCTACTACAACTTTGGCCTGGCAACTTTAAAAGAAAACATGCACGTTGAGACTGAAATTCAAAGTTTGAAATTGAGAGTCTTGGTTGGGATGAAAATATTAATTTTTATAACAAGTAACAACATAATTTTTTAAAAGATTACTACTACGTTTTATAAATTTATTTAAATTCTTTCCTAAGAATAATTATTTTTTTTGATCAAAAATATTTTCTTGTCGAATTTTCAGTTGTAACATTTTTTAATCGCTTACAACAGACGAAATATCATTCAAATGCATGGGTAACTAAAGGTGCAATCATATAATCAATTTTTTCAATAAAATATAATAAATACTGTATAACAATTGTAACAAATTACAATTTTTGTTATTTACGGGTAGTTATTTCAATTATAATTAAAGAAATCAGAACTCGAAATTTGTAAAAATTCTGCCAAGGTCATTATATAATATTTGATACAAAAATAGTGAGTCATTTGTAGATTAATTCCAAATTGTTTTCATACAAAAAATGTCGGTTATAATGAAAAAGATAACAACAATCACAAAATTAACATTATCACAAATCAAGTATTAATCGATCAATGATTATGTACAGAATATTTACAATCTCGTCTTTCAAGTTGTTCGTTTTAACACTGCGACGTCTTCAACAGCTAACATCTTCTGAAAGGTTCGTTGAAAATGTGAACGTTAAATTAGTGTCGGTAGATGTTAATGATGCATCGCTACCGTCTTCCGGGCTGTTCAACCTCGACCTCAAATTCTCCAGTGCTAAGCAGGATGTACTCTTGGAGTCACGTGCATTTCCGATGACTTCAGCTATCCATCTCATACTCTTCCACGCATCGTCCAGTTTTTTTTGCTGCTGATTCAAAATTTGAATTTCATTTCTCAGTTTCATTTCGTCATCACTGGATACCCCCTGACGAATTAAATGGTTTGTTACTCCGACTTCGGCTTCCAGCAGTGTTGATAAGAGAGCGTATCTTTTTGTTAGGTCCGGGTGATATGTTTTCATGTGATCTGAAAGTTAATGAAAAAATATTTTAATTGTACAATAAATAAATGTTTAATAATACACAAAACGAGATAGAAAAAAATACTTACATATTTCAAACTGTTGCAGAGGCAGTGATATGTGGCCAGGAATTGTTTTCTCTTCTTCTCCAAGGCCAGAACAAACTTGTTTGAAGTTTGGCATCAGCAAAATGAATGAAACTTCGCTACTAAATTCGAACACCTCATTCATATAAACTCTGTGTTCAAGAAAATCTTCCTCAGGCACGCCAACATCTCGCATGAGCTCCAACGATGATTCGTATAACTGGTTGATGAAATTGTGCTGCAGCGTGCTGTCAACTTTGTTTAATTTGGTTGGTGTTGCTGTCAAATTGATGAGTGAGTCCCATTCCTCGCTCGAAACCTTCGCATTATTTCTAACTTGAACGAACGGAAAGACATTCGAGAGATTGTCGGGAACGATGATTCTCAGTTGATCGATGTATGACGTTAGTTTTACGTATCCAATGTAGAGACCTCGAGGCAGTCTGGTAACGCAAGAATCGTTGAATGAAACAAGATCCGGAATGTTGGCAGTGATGTAGTCCATTGTGTTTGTGTCCATTTGCGCTTGTTCTGCTTTCTCTTCACTTTTTTCGAAACTGTTCATTTTTTTCTTTATTAATTTGTTGACTGATCCCCATTTTAGCGATGACGTCACTCGAAGGTCGTCAGGGAGGTTTTTAATGAAAAGAAAAATTTGCGAACCACTGTTTGGATCGTTTAAAATCTGATAATGCAGGTTGCCCAAATCCTCATAACCGACAATTTTCTGCATCTGATAAACAGATTGAAGCAGGCATGATCTGAAATGTAGAGAATCAGTAATTGTCGACGGCCTTTCAAAAATATTCTTCAAAGGTTTCACATTTGACCAGTTGCAGATAACTTTGGAGAGCCAGTAGAAATCAGATTTCAGAGCAACGGAAGAAGGGGTCTGTTCACATTGTATTTCGATGGTTGGTAGAACATCTTCGCCAGTCACCAGGACTTTCCCTTTTTGATGTACCAGCGAAACGATGTAAAGTCCCTTTTTAAAACTTTTGTGCAGTTTCGGTGTCATGTTGAATAAGCTTTTGAATGTTCGTTTGACTCTTCTTGTTAAAATTTGAGGCTCATCAATACCTGTGTAAATATAACATAACATTAACATAACATTGGCATAACATTAACATAACATTAACATAACATTATCAGTGGGCTCAAACCAAAAGTCCATATGCCCACATCTAATAAATATATAAAAATGTACACAAGTAACAAATGCAAAATTATTAAAATGAAACGGTTAAAGCTAAATAAAAAATTATTTTAAAATAAAATTTAACAGCCATCTTTCATTTTAATTGATGAAATTTTTTTGCAAATTAATTTCAAATAGAATCAAAAAACTAAGTAGAAATATGCAAAAAATCACTTGTGTTGGTGTTCTTTGAATGTCTGACACTACTCATTATTTCATCAAGGATCAGTTTCTTGCCCTCTGTACGAATGGGTCTTGTCACGACATTACGCCAATCTGAAATTTGAAAAGTGAGAAAAGCATTAGAAGAACATTCGCAAAGGTTATAATGATAGATTTCAATACTGTTTCATCCACTATATGACTGCTTAATATCAAGCGTGTTCCATTTTTTCCGCGCAAACATACGTTGTTTACTTTTCCATTTAGAAGAATTTTCCAAATATTTTGAAGAATTTTGAAAATATCTGGGAAGAGTGTCATATGTTTCTCATTATCAGCAGTGCGTACTAGAATTGTTAGCAAAAATTTTTTTGAATAATCTTTCAGCTCGTTGTTGAACATTTGAAGAATCATTAATTTAGCAATCAGCAGCATTATTAACGCTTCTGACTGAAGACGCCTCAAGAGATGCGCCACACAAATAATGAAACACAATATAACACAACTCACTTAATATTCAACTACATTCGTAGTGCTGAACAAACACTGATCTAACAAATTCAGAGGTACTTAGTTTCGGACAAATGATGTGAAGTAATGCATTAAAAATAAAATTCAATATCACTTAACAAGCATTGAATGCCTCAAATGGTAATACAGGTGTAAACAGGCAGCACAGGTACGATCCTATTTTTTCATCTGATGGAATGCCTCATCTTAATGGAAGCAATTATCGCTTTCCTAATGTTTATATCAGCTTTAATGTATGCGAGGTGTGATGTGAATATTTATTGCATGGTCACTTATTAGTTTCAATTTACACTGATTAAAACTTCACCGATTAAAATATTAATTTGATATATAGCAAACTTGATAACAAAATAATGTAATGTGTCAAAAACGCTAAAAAAAGTAACCGTTTTTCAAATAATAAACTCCTCAAAATATAAACAACGGAATTGCGAAATAGAAAATATTTTTCATCTGAAAACCTACAGTCAGCAAATGTTTTTGAAAACAATGTCATTCTAATAATAGCAACCAAACCCAATTGAACGTTCTACAAGATGTCAACACTGACGAAAACGTCATTTTCATTGTCTAAAAATAACCATCGTAAACATGAACAGCAGCGAACAATATAACCTTCGTCTTCAGATTGTCTTGCCGGCGGAAGCAATGATGTCTTAAACATCAACAACATTCTTCACGCCCCCAACTTCACCAGCAATATACAGCATACAGCACTTTACTAACAATATTCAGTATGCAGCATCTGCAACAATGTTTTAGTCATCACCATCATCGCCATCATCGTGTTATCACTTCATCTTTTTAGAAATTTTTGACGTTTTTGAGACAACTTTCTTTTTATTGAAGTTAGAAATCGGCATAAAATACTCTATTAAAAACTTTTGAATTTTGTTTTTGCTATATACAAAATATTATAAAAATCCCAAACAAAAAATCACTAGCATTATCAACAACAACAACATCAACAGCAGCAGCAATAAGAAAGACACAAATGGCAAGCGACAACATCTGTCCATTGTGTGACTCGATAGTTTTTAATGAGGATGATCGTACAACTCGGCAGCTAATGTAAACATCACATCACGCTCATCAACATCAAATCAACGTTTTTTCCGTCAGCGTGTTAACGCTTCTTTTATTTATTTAGAAGCATCTAAGTTTGTTTTTTAAATTAGTGTTTTTGTTTTCCCTTTAGTGCAACGACCCTAACTGAAAATTTATTTTCTTTCACAGTCTTAATGGCCCAAGTAAGTGGCCTTAGTTTTGCTAATCAAGCAGTGGAAAAATTTATACGCGTTTTACCAGGAACTTGAAAGTTTAGTACCGGTACATCAGTCTCGGTAATGAGAAGAGAAAAAACTTTTAATGGTATCTGATAATTTCAATGTTTTAAAAAATAATCGATGCATCGACTACTAATTTAGACAGACATGTAATGTAGGTAGATACAAATAAATACATACATTCAAACGTGCATTCTCAAAAAGTCATATACGGTATCAAATACAATGTGTATAAGAGCACGTAGTCATTTATTTCAAAATACTTCAACCAGATGACGAAAACTGAAAATTTTTAAGAAAAAAAACGCACCCAATAAAACAAGGCATCTGCAATAACAGACTGGAGCGGACTGGATGTAAAAATATTAGCGGATTCTACGAACACTTTCAAGAGCATGGTTAAAAATAATTTCTATGGGTTGGCTCTTATTGATAAAAAGTGTTGTTGTCCTTGTAATAATATTTACTATTATATCAGTTCGGTATTGATTTCTGCTTTACCTTTTTTCCAATGAGAGAAGTCAAAAATCAAATGAATTTTGTGAGTTTTGTATTATTTATTTCTCTACTTAGTTCTTGGTTAGTTATTCTAAGTGATTTACATGTAAATTGAGCCTTTACTTAAAGTTTATATATTAATCTAGACTTGATAATGCACTGCTGAACAGGCATAATATTTTCCAATCAAATTATTTTCGATGGTCTTTAGCATTTAAATTTTCTATAAAAGTAACAAACTAGAACATTTTGTGACATTTCAAACAAATGTCAAAGAAATTTTAAATTATCAACGCATTTTTATTACTTGCCATTATTTAAAGTCGAAATAAGTTGAGTGAATGCGAAAATTTTGCGAAAAATTCAAAATTGAAATTGCTTCAAAGCAAATGCAATGCAATTCTATAAAAATTTATTTTTTAAATTTAGTTCTTAGGGAAGAATGAAATTAAATTTAATTTAATTGTAGAAAAAATTTATTACCGTTCAAAGAATATTTTATTTCAAGTCAAGAGGAAGATAACGAAAGCGCACTGAAACGCAATAAATATCATCCAGGGACCCACCGACATCAGAGAAACGTTGAACTCTTGGCGCAAAATTTCTGCATACCAAATCTATGTTTTCTGTCGCATATCAAATCGAATACAAACAGATGCAACCTGGAACGCATACAAACAAAAAAAATACTTGACACTTAGGCCATAGACTTGCATGTTGTTACATCCTCTGAGTTGCGCTGACAGAGTTTAATTTACAGAATAAAAAACAAAAAAAAATGTATGAAGCCCATGCAAATGCTTATATAATACATATTTTAACGTCGACGCGTATAAATGCAATATTTTCACAAGATGCAGACTCGCAGACCTAGATGCATCAAACTAGATTAAAAAAACAGTTAGATGAACATGAAATATAAGCCACCAAAATGAAGAATTTTTTGCATAAGCGCATCTTGAAAACAAATCGAAATGGTGTTGAAATTTCAACAAATTTGCAGATTGACAGCACAGTCCTGAAGAGATTAATTTCGTAAATGGAATTTTTTGAAACATTATTTCAACACCCTGGACACATTTTTTGTTAATTTGAAATCTCAAAAACATTGTTACGATACTAAGCACCACAAACAACGCGACAAAATCGTTCTGGGCTGTATGATGGTGTAATGGTAAAGTGCCTGGCATTGCTATTGCAGTGACGAGATTCGATTGCAAAAAGATCCTTCCCTGTCACAAGCAATGTGTGTGATGCCTTGTTTCACGAGTGCTTACATGCACTGAAAAATATTGATGAAAGAATTGTAACAGATAAATAAGTTAAAACAAATATATATGTAAGTACGTAGTCTTTTTATAGAGTTAATTATTTTATTTTAGCGAATTATTTTATTTTTATAAGTATCAAATTTCATTTTGCTTTGAAGGAATAAAATGATATTGTTAATAATAACGCTCTATATGTAATAAACATTGAAACAGACGAATAAGACTGATTCAGCCTAACATTTCAGCAAGTTTCAAGGCTGATCACTCATTAATTTAAGAATTTTAATTTTTTAGATTGCATCCCTTTGACTAGCGTTAAAATTTATTTACAAATATCCTCAACAAAATAAATACAATCGTTAAAAATAATTTTGAACGCAACACACCTTTCTTATTTTCAGCCGGGTCCTTCGCATTCAACTGACTAGGGAGGCTTCGGGAACATTTGATGACGTCATCTATTTTATTGACTGCCACGTGATCAATTTGTACGGAGCTCACAAACATCGTTTTGTTGTTTTTGTTCATAGTTTTATTCTCGTCATTGTCATCTTCATCGTCGTCGTCATCGTCGTTGTTCGGTTGAGATCTGATTTAGGTAGTAAAAACAGGAAATTTTATTTGTACAAAAATATAATGTACATAAATAACTAATAAAAAATAAAATTTGAAAAAAGTTTGATCGCAATCTTATCTTTAAACACAAAAATTTGATTGAAAATTTTTAATTTATTTCTTTCCGTTTCATTTCTAAGACGTCATCAATTTTTGTAGAATAGTTTTTAAGGAAGTTAAAAGTTTCTTGTTTTACTAGACTTCAATTTAAATGTCAAATAAATGAAATATAAATAACATCAAAAAAGTTACAAAATTAAATAATTTGTAAAGTCATTATAAAAATCTACTAAATTTGTTGCAAAATTCTTTCAAATCGCAAACATCTCTCTTTTGATGCTTTTCAACGTTAGTAAACAAAACATCAAATCAAAAAATAAATTTAGCAGCAACAATAATGTTTAATAAAACAACAGCCATTGAAATTGAAAAACAAAATATATGTCTATTGAAGGAAGCATAAATTAAACGATAAAACTCGTTCAATAAGAAGCGGTGCTAATCTTACACGTGCAATTTGTTCGTGTAAAACATTTTCTTCAACCTGGCTGCCTCATTCTTATCTAAGCAGGTCTTAATTTATTAGATGCAACAAGGGGGTACCATTTGAGATCTTTTACACTAACCAGCGAGTTTTTTTTCATCTCCTCATTCAGTTTGTTGTAGCGTTCAGCCAAAAATTGTTCAAAAGAAATTTTTTATTTATCGACGCCTAGAAGTTTTTTTGGTTTTCGAAAAAAAAAATTTGTTGTTTGCTCAAAATTCCCTTTTACTTGGAAAAATTCTGTGTAGATGTTAGTTGAGAGCAGTTATAATAACGTTGACTTCACTGAGACTTTTCCATCACAGTCTTTGACACAACTCACATTATAGTTGTATAAATAATTCTTTTATTCAAGGGGTTCAAAAAAATTTAACAAAAATTAACTCAGTAAGCCGTGTGGGTGAACAGGAAACCTATGTTCAAAACATACGTGTCTTTACGTTACGTTACGTTGTGCATGTGTGTGTGCGTGTGTGTGCGCGTGTGTGTGTGTGTGTGTGGTGTGTGCACCATTGAACACTGTTGGAGTTGCACCAAATAAACTTCGGTCTTTCGTTGATTAATCATATCAGCGGTTTCAAAAACGATTTAGTACGATTAATTGAGACAACAACATTCAAAATTGTTCTAAACAAGAAAAATGTTTAAGTACATTTATTTAGGGTTTTTATTCAATTTTGGAGATTCAATTCGGTTTCGGTTTCATTTTTAGCTATCAACGTTCTCTACTGACGACTGTTTTGATGAGAAAAATTTCAAATGTTATTGTTTAACTAATCATACCACTGAGAACTCGTAATCAGATTTAGTTTAGATTCAGTAATTTTTCACAGATAAATAAAGTTCAGACAAAATACAAAGAAATTTAATGTTACAAATATAAATGTGTATCATTTTATTTTGTGCTTAAGACTCATGCACCAAATAGAAACCACCTAACACATGCACAGCACACATCTGAATCTGCACTTCTTTACATTTGAGTCTCATCAACTTTTTGTTTTAGGCATTTTAAAATCTCTTTTTCAGACATCTTTGTGCATAAAAAATATGTTTGCATGCAAACAATTATGTCGTAGGATTATGTCCAAAAAACAAGAAATGCACCACCTCCAGAACAAACAATGCAGCGGGCAACGGAGGGATAATTTATTTCCCTGGGAACAAAATGTTTACCGAATATCCTCTTCAGAATTAGCAGGTGCCGCTATAAATGATTTCCTTAAAATGTTTTTAATTGAGGTCCATGACCTACAAATCAATATTTCTCCTTGCCAACTCCCATCAACTGATTCGTTAATAATGCACCACATAAAAATTCTTGTTTTAAATGAAACGAAGTAAAAATTGCAAGACAAAAAGTAACAAACTTTTGACGTTTCTTCATTTTCTTCTTGGACACCAGAAGGCTTGATGACTTTCTAATGCGCTAGAGAAATAAAAAATTTTGTCAATAAAACAAACTTCACTGGTTAAAATTGAGCGTCGTCTCAATTTAAAAAAATGTTATTAAATTAAATTAGAATCGATGAACCAAACATTAAGGCAAACGTAGTGACCTAAACAAATGCAAACAATAAAAATTTATTAAAATTTGAATTAGGATTGAGGATGACTTGGGAAAGATAATAATCAGAAATCATCCTCGTCTTATCATTATAAGCTCATTATAAATTTCCATTTTTATTTTTTTTTTGTTTCTATAGTTTATATATGTCAGTATTAATTTCAATTTTCATTGGAATACGCTCACGCATACAAAGGCACCCACAAGCGGACACACACACACACACACACACACACAAACACACACACACAAACACACTAGTGAGTCATTGAACCTTCTCACCTCGGATTATTAATTTCTCCTAATACACACGCCGAAACTGGAGACGAATGACGTCACATGGAAAGTTGAATGAATAGATGGGCGTTCATTCGCACACCTACATTACCATTACTCAGGCATTTGTGAACGAATGTTTTACAGTATTTATTATGAATAGGTTTATTATACGCTTTTATTGGAAAAGCGTTTAGGTGGCGAGTTAATTTTTGTTTTCTGTTTTGTGATTTCTTTAACAAAATAGTACAGTGTTCCTCAAAAATAACTTTAACATATTTTTTTAAGTTTTGCTCTTTGTTAAAATCACGTGAAAGTTATATTATCATTCACAATTTATTTCTTGTGAGAATGTTTTATTTTTCTGGTTCATGGTTTATACAATCAATAGTTGAAGTAAAGATTTACACCGGCTCCTTCTAGCAGCATACATTTCTTCTAAAGGCATGAAATGGGCATATGTACGCAATTTTAAAAATTATGACAAAGAATGTAAACATTTTTTAGTAGAAGTAGAACTTAGAACTAAAACTTATAAAAAAAGATTTTACAAGACAAATCGTTTACCAGAAACTTTCTTCATATCAAAATAGCCTCTTTCCGTAGATAAACTGTTATCATCGTGGCAAGGCAACAAACACATCAGTAAGTGATTCAAAGTTGATTCAAATTTTAGTTAACATTAATGATAAAAAGTCAAAGAAGAAATTAGAGCTGAAAGTTAATAACAACTAATTTTGTGTTTTGTTTATATTACCTTTATGTAACTACTTTGTTAATATTACTACCACTTTGAATTTCTAGTTTTTCCATCAGTTGCCATATGTTTGCATGCATGTCAAACCTCATGCCAATAAACTTGAAAAAAAACCACATCTATGAAATAACTTGACGAAAAAATGTTTTATATAAAAGAGTAATAAACCTGAAATAAATTTTGACGTCATTTGAATCTCGTAAAACATCAACAACCTCAACAAAACTTTACTCACACTTTTTTGAGTTGATGAATCTAAAGATGATGAAATCACTTCACTGACACCTGGCGATGACGATAATACTGTTTTGGAGGCCACAGCTAATGATGATGACGGTGATGAAGAAGATGGTGATGAAAATGATGATGTTAGTGGTAGTGATGATAATGCCTGTGTTGATGGGGACAAAAGTGATGTAACATTTATTTGTGTTGAGGTTAACAGAGGCAGACGTACTAGCTGTCGGGCTAGAGGAACTGATGATGACGAGGAGAATGTTTTCGCGTTTGATGAAGCAGGTCTGTTTGTGGTCGATGAAGTCGAAAGAGACTTGAGGTTAATTGGCGTTGTTGCTGCTGCAACTGATACTGTTTGCAGTTGTGGTAGTCGTTTGAATGACTCGGAGAATTGTGAGGACGACGATTGGTCTCCTTCCAGCTCTGTTTCAATTTCAAGAAACAATTTATATCAGGTAAAAAATGAATGAAATATTTAGCTTAAATGTAAAAAAATTACAAGCATGTTGAAATAATGAAGATTCGCATTATGGTGAACAATCCATTCGCAACAGGGTGAACATGATGAACATCATCAACTTGATAAACATTCACAACACAGTGAACATCCACAACCAGATGCAATATCAAGCAATATTTTCATTATTAATATATTTAGTATTAAACACTTTTTCAAAATTTATATTAGTTTGGATTTTCTACATTGAAGAAACAAAGAAATAAAATTGTTTGGTTTACAAAATGCAAAATAGTCTCCATCAACTAATATAAATATGTTTTTTGTGCTTTCAACAAGCAGTAATTTTTGTTACAATGAATAAATACCCAGGTATAAAATTGTTTTGTTTTCTCTGCAGGGGTTTTTAAAAAGTGCTATGTAAAATTTAGAGAAAACACAGAGGAACGATGAAGTTTCTAAAGTAAGAAAAAAAGTTGGTGTCGCATACATTTGGCGAATTAATTGAAGAAAAAGGTGATTAAGAAAATGTTAAGAGCTTTCTAAGAAGCTAGTGAAGATGTTTCAATTAATTGATGGCCAGTGCAAAACGTTAATAAAACATTAACGTCGTTAAAACATTAATGCCGATGCAACATTAGCATCGTTGGTAATGTGTGTGATGATTCTTGTTGCACAAAAAATAATATGGATTGATGTTTTGTAGTTTTTAATGGCATTTCAGTTGTTCAACAACAACAAAAACATAAAATTAAATTTGATAACAACCGATCAGCTAAACCATGTTAGCAATTGTAGAACTTTCAACAACAAACCTTACCAAAACAAAGATATATATATCTCAAAACGACGCCAATAAAGAATAATAATTAAATTACATAAAAAAAAATGCCAGCAAGCCAACTAAAAAAAAAAACAAAAGTAAGATCGTACATAAAGCTATCATCAACATTGTGCAACGAACAAGTCGGAAGCCATAAATTCATCGTTATATTCAATTACACGCATACGTAGTTAACACGTATTCAAAAACCATCACAACATGTCTTGAACGCACTGCACAAAAACTAGAACGAATAAGATTTCGTTCTTAAAATTTTTAAAATTCGGTTGAAACTTGCGATTGAATGACGACGAACTGTGGGCAAGTATTCTAGAGATGATTCAATGAATGGTAGCAAATCACATATCACAATTCAAAAACAGCACCCTAACCACAACAGCAGCTACAACAGCAACCACAACAGCAACTACAACAGCAACCACAACAGCAGCCACAACAGCAACCACACAAACGCCTCACATCACGCCATCCATTTACACATACCTTCAGAGCCATTGGGAAACCCGGAGTGAAGATCAACGCAACATAATGCAGTCTTGTGTTGGTAGACTTGTTGAGTGTGTTGAAATATTTGTTGGCGTTGTTGTTGGCAGAGTTGTTGTTGTTTTTGTTGTTGTTGTCTACTATGATTGTGAGGAACATTTTTGATATCTGTAAAAAATTTGAACGGTCGTTAACGCTTTTTATGAAGTTTGAAATGAATATCTTATTTTGTAGATATAAATAGATGTAAATATTTCAATAGTTGAGAGAATAAAAAATTAATTATTTTAATTGTTGCGGTAGCTCAGAAATCTAAACCATCACACAACATCCGTGAGTGTGTGTGGGATCAACGACTCATGATGCACATTTTACACGAGAACGTCTTTGAATTGGAGTCCGTAACACTGCAATACAAAACCGGACGCCTACAACCACTACGCCATCTCGCGTTGGTAACTTTTGGCCTAACATTCCAGCTTCAAAAATAATTTTACATTTCTCTCCTATGTGCAAATGTGCATGTGATAATTCCAGTGCACCTGAGAGAGTTTGCGTTACGAACCGACCTAAGGATTGTGCATTCCTTTGCGGTCGATGTTGAAGGTTAAGATGGAAGTTCAGCGTGGAGGCGAGCCAGCATGCACCACACACCACATGCACCAAACATTCCTGATTCGTAATGACTGTTATTGCTCCTCTCGTTATCATCGTCATCATCTTCGCCGTTGTCATCATCATCATCAACTCAAACTTCATCACTATCATTACGAAATCATCTCCATTTACATTTTCTTACTTCATTATCGCTATATTTTTGTATTTACAATTATTCATTCCTTCATTCTTTTATTTATTCATTTATCTCTCTATCCATCTATCAATTAATTATTCAATTAATTAATTAATTCATTCGTTCATTCATTTATTCATCCTTCCATCCATTTATCCATTTTTACACATTACATACAATACAGTTATGTATGTTCCTACCTGTATCAAAATGCCGCCTGGTTACATCATCATCGTCATCATCATCAGTACCCTCCCTGCAGACATCATCATCATCACCACCTTCACCATCCACGTTGTCACCATCATCAGCACCATTTGGATGATTATCATCATTTCTCGGTGAACCACTGTTGGTGCGCTTTCCATGGCGATGTTCATCATGATGATGATGATGATCGTGATGATATTCATGATGATGATGATGATGATGATGGCAAGGGTGGGAATGATAATGATACAAATAAAGAAATTGATTTGACTGCTGCAGGTGATGGTTATGATGATGATGATGAAGACTCTGATGGTGATGATGATGATCGGAAAATTGATTCCCAGATGTCCTGAGAAAATAAAAAAGATCATGAATATTAATTAGTTTTAAACCAGATGAAATTAATACGCTTATTTATTTATTGGCGGAAAAGCTTCATATTATATTTATTTTCAAAAAACATTGAAAAAAATTGTGTAAAGTGGCATATAAAAAATAAAACTTTGAAAAACTGAGCAAAAATAACCAGGAAAAACTAAAAAAACAACATCAACAACGAGCAAACATTAATAACAACATTGCGAACATCAAAAATATAAAGACCACAACCAACAGCAACAATAACCATCTACAACCGACAACACAACAAAAACAACCACAACAACAACCGACAACAACAGCAACCAACAACAACATCAACCACAACAACAACCGACAACAACAGCAACCAACAACAACATCAACCACAACAACAACCGACAACAACTACAATGCTACATATGAACGTGCGTTAGGCATGCATGGAAGATCAATGAGTACGTTACTGTATGCAAATTAAAATAATGAATAAATAATAATTAATCGCAATCAGCAACCTTTCTTTATGTGTGTACGCTGTGCTGGCAAAGCTAAAAATGATCACGTGTGTGTGTGTGTCTGTATGTGCGTGTGTGTGTGCGTGGTGTGTGAGTTTGTGTGTGTTTTTTGTGTGCACTTAAGTGGAAGTTCATGTGTGCCTAAATGGTGGACATATATGTGCGTACGTGTGTTTCAAAACTCAACAAATATGCACAAAAAAAACATAAAAAGAGAGTTTTTATACTCTTATTGTTTTGCCTCCGTATTTGAAATATAATTACCCAGAAGTGCCAAACATGATAAGTCGACAATTTTTATTGAAAGTGAGAAGCTGTTTAGAAAATTTGTTTGAACGTTTGTTGTAATTTATGGTGGAGTCTGTTGTTTCTTGTCGGCAATGAAGCATGTCACAACTTTCCACAGGAAGAGTTGGCTGATGGAGATCACGTAGGTGCTTTGTGTTCTTGCAAGAATCACCTCATATGAATGGATTTTACAGACTGTTATAATCTCACTTGATGTCCTGGCGAACATTTTCTTCATCAGTTCATGTCTTCTATACTTCATCATTTCTAAATGAAAGCTTGATTATAAATTTTGTATAAATTTTTTCGACAGGGTATCTAACCTGGTAACCATTTACTGACGCATTCCTGCCATCACCCAAAATCTTTCTTATTATATGAATCAAGCGATATTGCAAAATCTTTCTTAGTCCAACCGCCCACCTTCTTCCTCATTAAAACTTTTGAAACCTCTCACGAGAAAATAATCTAAAATGTTAAATTTGTGTCGGAATGCTATGTGGTTAGACAACGGTTATTTGCAAGCTCATGAAATTTATACTAAGATATGTCATTGATACATTGCATTGCAATATAAACAACATGTAATGAACAATTTTCATAATCCAAAAAACATTCAATTGATTTATTACGAAATTTGAGCTCGGTTTGATCATTTAATATAAATGATACAAACAAACAAAACACTAAATAATTAATCATACCATCTGCTAAATAATTATTATCACTGTTGTTAGTCAGTTATTTATTATATTCTGAACAAGAACATTCACCATCAAGGTATATATTCAAAATAAATTCAAAGTTTATGCACAACTAAAGATTCTATCGTTAAATGGAAGAATGAAACGTACATAAGCAAACTAACAAACACACATAGACAAATACAAAACACAAAAACTCGCGAGCATATATTTTGATAAGTTAATATAATTTCTAATTGTTTTAGTTAATTCAATTTTGCTTAGACAAATTTTCACAGAAAGACAAGAAAATTACCCGGTTTGAGACTCTGATGCGAAATTCCTGTCATTCAATTTTTTAATGTTGTTGATGTCGTTGCTGTAGTCATTGTCATTGTTGTTGTTACTGTCATTATTAGTAACAATAGTGTTGTTGTTGTTGCTGTTGTTGTTGTTGTTGCTGTTGTTGTTGTTGGCAGTCATCCAATGAGCAGAGGACAAAAATGACGTAAGCACGACGTCAGCTCCATCATTATCAGTAGCAACATCTTCATCAGCCTCTTCATCTCCATCAACTCTTTCGTCTTCATCATCGTCATCTTTGAAATCTTCAAAATCGTACTGTTCTGCACAACTGTTAAGTTTCAATTTAATTCATTGTTCTCCTTTTTTATTGATAAAAATTAAATATTGAAATTTATTTAAACACCTCAAAAACCTTGTCAAAAACCTTGTCAATGCAATTGAAAATCTTTCTTGATTTTTTTTTTCATAAGATAACATGTGCATTTAATTAAACTTTTTGGCATTTTTTGAAAAAATAAAATTAATTTCAAATAAATTAAAAAAAAAAATTGAATTTAAAAACAAATAGATACTTTGATGATATTTTAATAAATAAATTGACGAATGTTATACAACTTCATTTAACGAAGAAATAAATAAATCAAAAAAATTTGAAAACATACAATTTTTAATTTGTAAACTAACTTTTTTAAAAAAACTTAAATGTATTAATTATTAAATACATCAGAGAAAAACAAAAACAATTAATACATTCATCAAGGGACACCACATCACCAAGCGCTTTAAAAAATTTGAGAAAATTTATAAATTTCGTAATGAAGTTTGTCTATTAAATTTTTATGGCTTCAAGCAAAATGGGAAAAAGATATAATTTCTTAAATAAGTTGAGCTATGGAAAAACTTTTAATTTGATGAAATGAAAAAATAAATGTACGGTCGCGAGGTTGGTGATATAAGTGTGAAATGTTGTGTGTTTGTCTTTGTGTGTGTTGGTGTTAAACGTTGGGTGTTTGTTTCTTTGTGTGTGTTGGTGTGAAATGTTGTGTGTTTGTTTCCCTGTGTGTGTGTTGGATGGCGTTAAATGTTGTGCGTAATATAAGATGGTTTGATTTTTATCACGACTCTCTTTTTTAGTAGAGTTGAGTTGTTAACTACACACTATATGTGAAAAAAAACATGTGACTCAGCGTGACTAACTGCACACTTGGAGAAACACCAAAGAATGCTAACCACTCAATTTTATCGGCGGAAATTTTGTATACAAATAAATGAATATTGCGAATATGTATATGTGTAAGTTTTTATAAATATATACATACATATATATATATATATATATATATATATATATATATATATATATATATATTGTGAACACCTGTGTCTCTATTTGTTTTGTATGTTTGTTTATTGTGTGTATACATGCACAATATTTACACAATACATACAGCAGACAGACACACACAAACACACACAGACAAATAGTTTAATACAATTTGTTTTTAAGAGGAAATTTTCTTGCAATTGCAGCCACTGAAAGTTTTAAAACCTTGTGTTTGGAGCTGAAAAATGTGTTTAGTAAATAATTCAGTTAACTATTTTGCGGATTATATCAAAATTAAAAAATCTATTAGTATTAATTCTAAATTTTGTTTTTTTGGTTTTCTTCAAATTTAATAATTGATTCCAACTCTATGTATTTTGCCATGGACCTGCATTCATTAGTTCGTACAGACTGAAGCAAACTATCGGAATTTTCAAAGTAATAACGACTTCTTATGAATAGGTTATTACTAAGAAATCCAGTTGGCCAGCATTTAAAAAACAACACCAAACACATCACATTCTCTCTCATGTTTGAGTGTTTTTTTCCAATAAGCAACCGAAGTACAAACACAGACCGAACAGCCTCCATGCACTGTTTGATGAAAAAATTACTTAATTATATTCCTGCAAAGAATAAAAAACTGCAAATAATCTGAAAATAATAATTGAGAGGGAGTAAAAATAATGACAACCACAATAGTAATAATAATAAGAAGAATAATATTAACAATAGTAGTAACAAAACGACAGATGGAGCTAGAATGCCTGAGGGAGATCACGTAGACATGGAAATAATTTGCATGGTGCAATTGCTCGGACCACTTATTTAACGGTGCTCTGACTCGTATCTTATCCATCTTGACCATCACGTTAATTATTTCTCAATTTCATTACGAAAACGCTTTTTTCTGCTGGTTTTTTCTTTGTTTCTTTGGGTCTTTTTGTTTTATTTTGATGTTCTTAAGTGGTACGAGGTATGGGTCGCCATTTTTTTCATTTAGTACTGATTCTGTATATTTTAAAATGAAAGTTCCATCAAGTAAATAACCGTGGTTAAACATTTTGAAGTGGATGGATACAATTTTTTTGAGCTACTGCCTATTAATTTTTTCTTTTTAACAAATGTTTCTAAACTAGTTGGTTTTATTTTTGTAACTTCAGGTTTTTAAAATAATGTTACTGAAGAAATTTATGGTAAACTTGAAATATCTAAGGTTTAGCTGTCCCGCAAAGAAAATAGCTATTATTATTTGCAGTTTAAACTGTTTTGTTTAAATATTTTAAAATAATTGTAAAAAAATAATTTCTGAATTAATTTTTTTAAATTTTATTTATAAGTAAAACAAAAATCGAATATACCGGGGAAAAAATGAACATAGTGAAGTAAAATCATCAGTGAACTAACCTAATGTTGAAGGAAGAGCCATCGTTGAACTTTTGATCTGTAGTTGAAGAGTTGGAAGGTATAGATGAGGATGAAGACATTGAGGATGATGTCTTGTAAGAAGATGACGTCGAAGACGATGATGGTGGCATGTATGGAATGGATGACGATGACATCATTGATGACGAGGATGATGAGGAGGAGGAGGAAGACAACGACGAGTGGTTGACTGCCTGGAAGTTTTTGTGTCGACCGATTACTGAAATACGACGACTTGAACGTTGTTGTGGGTGTTGTTGCTGCTGCTGTTGTTGTTGTTGCTGTTGATATGAATAAGTTTGTTGGTGCTCTTGTGATTGTCTGTTGTTTGGTAAAACTTTGTTATTGTTGTTTTTCATGTCCGATTTGGAAAAATGTTCATATTGCTCTTCCGGCCCACACTTATTCATGTTGTTACTGTAGATGTTGTTGTTTTTATGAAATACAAACTCAGCGGCACACTTGCAGCACTGACTTCTCGTATCATAATCTTCCAGGAAACCTGTCTCATTTGATGAGCTGATCATCAGTTTCATGTTTCCGTTCGTCTTGTTCATCTCGTCGTTCATCTTATTTTTGAAGTTTGTGTTGTTGTTGTTGTTGGTTGAGATGCTGATCATTTTGTTGGGTTTGTTGTTTATGTGGATAGGTGTTTTCATCATACTGGAGTTCTCAGTGACGTAAGGAAACAGTGGTGGTGGTCTGTTTGGCTGGCTATCCTCTCTCTTGTTAATGCTGTAAGATCTGTTGTTGTTAAAAATGAAATTGTTATCAACTTTTTTATTACATTTTGCACAAATGATAGTTTCTTCAGTTGCTGATGATGATGAGGATGTCGTTGATGTTGTTGTTGCTGTTGTTGCTGCTGTTGATGTTGTTGACATTCGGCTCGTTACCACTGAACAGTTGTTTCATTTGTTGAATGGTTTGATTCTCGATTTGCTCGGTGACGATTCGTTCATAGCCAGTGTATTACAAACCATATTAGGATTTACTAAAATCAGGCTGAAATTTTCACAGCAAATTTTGAAAAGCGAGTAGTAAAATCATAGTTTATTACAATAAATATTTGAATTCCATTGGATATCATATCATGATATTACAAAATTTTTCATCGGATTTGCTGAGCAATTCATAAGAAGCATAGTTATTATGGATTGCCCAACTTAACATGCACTCTTTATATTTGCTGGAGCAAAACCGCCTTATGTGGTGTGTACCATCATACATGTTTATATGCATGCATGTATGCATGTTTAGTTTATGTATGTACATATACAGTGATATATGACGAAATAAATATATGTATATATAATATGTATCTTTGCTAATATGCTTTTATGTGCGTGCGTGTGTGTGTAAGTGCATTTGTGTGTGTGTAAGTGAATGTGTGTGTGTAAACGAATTTCTGTGTGTGTGTGTAAGTGTATTTTTGTGTGTAAGGGAATGTGTGTGTAACTGTATTTGTGTGTGTGTAAGTGTATGTTTGTGTATGTGTGTGTGGTGTGTGTGTAAGTGTATTTGTGTGTGTTTTAATCTGCGGTAGTGTGTTTAACTTTTGTTCATATTTACCAATAAATATGTGTAAATGTTCCTACTTTTTTGCATGTTTATATTGCTGCTCTGTATTGTTATGTGCATATTACATACACGTTCACGTTGTGTCTGTCTGTATACGTTCAAACTGTTACCTCAAGGAATTCACTTACTAAATCACGTAAAAACCAATTTATAAAATTCAATTTCATTTATTTATTTCGATTCAAATTTGTTGTTCATTGATTCATAATTTAAATTAAAATGCAAGCAAACAAAATTTTGAAAATTGAGAATGAACAACGAACAATGAACAACAAACAACGAACAGGCTGACAAATTTTTCCAAATTGTCTCAATACGGGACATACAAACTTCCAGTAACAAGTAAATAAAAAATAAATAAAAAACTGACAAATGATATTTTGAATAAACAAAAAATTCTGCAATAACAAGGAAAAGTAATTAATTTTTTTTCAGACAAAAACTAAATGAATTAAACTGTAAAACATGGGATGAAGATTGTATCGGGTAACTTTACAAATGTAAGTAACGTAACCATTTGTGATTAATCATGAAAAGTAGTCCCACCAGCAGAAAAATCAAATTTGATCAAATTTCACTGCAGAGCAACCATTCTATATTAAAAAATAAAAACTACGAAATAAAAAAACATAGAATGAATTAAAAAACACCTTATAAGCATATTATGAAAATTTAAGTTAAGATACAACTGTGAAGCCCCTGGTTAAGGGTTAGTGATAATGGTTCAAGCCAATTACAGATGATACTGATAAAAATGATAATGACGACGACGACGATTATCCTCATCATCAACATCATCATCATTATTATTATTATTATTATCATTATTATTACTATGATTACTCTCACCCTTTCGGTTATTATTATAGTTGACGTTGCTATCGGTTTAAGTTGTTAGCATTCGTCGCGGCAAGACAGAGGTAGGAATGCATGAAACTATTTACGTCTGCCGTGTGACGATCATTCATTTATACCTGGGCTAGGAACCTCAATACTTAAACCTATGTACTATGTTGCTCTACCACCACCAAGCCCATTGGTTTGTAGTGGTGTAATGGTTTATATGTAGTAATTATATGTATTGTAATGTATCGCGATGTATAATCGGAAATTCCACAAAGAATGATTTGGCATATATATTTATTAATCACTTTTCATTATATGTTTATTAGTTATTAAATTATTATTATTATTATCTGTCTTGTTGTTCTTTTTCGACAAATCATCAAAACTAATCTACCCAAGATGAACATTTTTTGACGTGACAAGCTATGCGAGATTGAAAAATAGCAGTCTCACTAAACCGATACTAACATACCAAATGAAAAACATTGGCATGATGATGTAACATGAATTACTTCAAAAGATTTAATGTAAACATTTGTAAATTTTGTAAAGAAAAAAATTAAAGGAGGCAAATGGAGGAAGGCTGGTGATGTCTGGAGTTGAAATGAAACTTAACTTCAACTCGTCAATTCAAATTGGCTCTTCACGACATCAGAAGTTGCATCATCATTCATGAAACAATTTCACCATTTATAAAGTAACTTCCCTCTTATCTAAATCAACCTCAATTCCAAAAAATGTTTACAACATCATCACTATAGCAACAAAAAGCAACAAAATAATAATGTGACAATTATTTCTAGGGCAATAAAAAATTTCCTTCTCTTCTTCCTCTTCTTCCTCCTCCTCTTCCTCCTCTTCATCATCGTTATCAGCATCGTCATCATCGTCACCATCATCATCATCGTCATCGTTAGCATAAACTTTATCAATGTGACTAGAGTAACAAAATTTCAAAATTTCAAAATACCATTCCCACTTTTACAAAATGCAAAAATCATGACGTCAACATTTGCATCGACATCATCGTCACCACAAACTCAGCAAAAAATGCCGCCATTTTTTACATACTAAACATTATTTTATCAATAAAAACCAACTACACATTTTAACCCCAAAAAACAGACTCAACAACAGCACAAATAAAACATTAAAAACATACAAAACATACTCAACTCGCATTAATTTTAATCAATACTGAAAACAAAACAAATGTTTATCCTGGGTTGGGTGCATGATGTATGTAAAGATACGTGCACACGCACGCAAACAAACAAACAAACACAGGCACGTATTACTTTTATAACCATCTTCAATCGATTCTAACTTTTAAATAATGCAACAAAATTTTACATAAGAACATTGTAAATTTAACTATTTTTCTCTATAAATATTTTAATTAATTTTAATAAGATTTTTTTAAATATTGCAGGAAATGTTTTCAGTTTTTTGATAGTTTTGTTGCTTAGCACTCGGTCTCTTGAGCTAACAACACTATAAAAATTACGAGAACTTGTTAAGCGATTGCATGATTATTCGACATTACTCATTACTACTTCTACTACTACTACTACTTCTACTACTACTACTACTTCTACTACTACTACTACTACTACTACTACTATTACTATTACTACTACTGCTACTACTACTACTACTGCTGCTACTACTACTACTACAATTACTTCTACTACTACTTCTACTATTACTACCCTTATCACCACCACTACCATCACTACCACCACTACTACTACTACGACTACTACTACTGCTACAACTACAATTTGTACAATAAAATTATTAATACTTATTAAATGATAATAATAATATGATAAAATATTAGAAACAAAAAGTAGATCATATGTAATTGTATTGGTGATAGTGGTTTTAATGTTTGTATTATTGAATATAATTAATGCTTAGTTGTCATTTAAGTAATTTTATTATAGGTAGTAATTATTATAGATAGTATACTTTATTATAGATAACGAAAATAGTTTGTGGCTGTTATTATTGTTGTATTATTATTATTATTTATCATGGTTTTATTATTATTATTATTTATTATGGTTTTAATATTATTATTTTGAACTTTTTTGTTGTTGTTATAAAAGTAACAATTCATTAATGCTTTTTTAATACAAGAAATGTATACAATGTTTTTTCTGGGAGGATAACATGGAATTGATGTTTTAATATTAGGAAAAGACAGCAAGTTATATTTTTATATGCCTACAATTTCTTTGGAAATTATTAATTAAAAAAAATTTTTGTAACGATTTAAAAATATTAATTTTAAATAATTTAAAAAAATTTATTTTGAATTATTTAATAAACAACCTACCTCTGCACCGTCTGTTTTCCACCCATGTTGCACCCGAATCACGTGACTTAACGTCATCAGTCACGTGGGGGTCAAGGCGGTCTTTGGAACTGCTGCTCCTGATGATGATTATGACTGGGGTGGGAGTGCTGATGATGATGATGATGATGTTGGTGATGATGACCGTAATGATTGATGATGGTGATGATGTTGGTGATGATGATGGGGGTGGTGGTGGTGGTGATGATGATGGCTATAAAGATGATTTATGATAAATTAAATGAGGAAAGTGTCATTGTAGTTGTCAAAACTGTCATTGTAATTTTTTCATCATTAATGTTTTTCCAAATTATTTTGACTTAGCAGCATTAAAGAAATTAAAGAAAAACTTGTGCTGATCAAATAAGAAAATGGGTAGAAAATGAATACATAATTTACAACATAATGCTACATTAATCGAACTCACTCTACTAATAAAACAAAATTGAACTTTAATTGTCTTCATCGTAATGATTAGAATATGATTAAAAATTGCTTCTAGCAGCAATAGACATAAATAAATAATCAATGTCTATACCTGTAGCTTGTATACGACGAACATGAAATAATTCATCAACGTCGTACGGAAATCGATTTTTCAGATTTAGAAAAAAGTTTTGTTTGGTGAAGACAACTTTGTTTACTTCTGAATTATGTGCATTTAATCCTGGAATATTTTTGTGGGACCCTTTTTTTTCCAGTTCATCTAAATTTCGTTGCTAACCTCACTTACAGAACGTACTCAATGTTTGTGGAAAGGCATGATGGAAACTTAATGTAGAATGGTTTGATAGATTGGCTGGTTGGTTGGTTGGTCGGGTTATTGGTTAATTGATTGAATTACTAAATGAAACAAGTTAATTTTATTTCATTATTAAATATTTTATTGGCCGCAATTTATCAATTTTCTCAGCACATGCACATTTCGTGTGTTTGATATTCTGAACATATAATTGAAGTTCCTCCGTCATAAATTTTTAAACAGATAACATTTTATTTCATTTCTTGGGTTTAAATTTTTTTCATTCAATCTCCTTTTTCAGTCAAAAAAGTAATTTGATTTTCAATAGATATATTATAAATAGATGGTTGAAATATGACGCAGAAGTACATGAATGTTCAGATATATTATGTTCACAGTGGTATAATTGTGAGTTATCTTCATTTAATATTTACACGGTTATATCATTTAACAATCTATACGATTAATTAAAATTGTTGCTCGACAATTACACCTAGACATTATATAAGTTTGGTGAAAAATGTTCACTCCAACGGAATTAAGAGTTGAAAAAAAGTCGTAAAAATATATATTGGGCACAGAGTGAAGATGAAGTTGTTGTATAATGTTCACAAGTTCACATAATGGTCTAGAAGAAGTGAAAACTTTCTAGGAAAACTTAAGGATGAAATTTTTTTAGAACGCACTTCTTTCACAAGTGTCATTAAAAAATTTAAAATATAATTCTTGTCATATCAGAGATTACACCGAACTTATCTCTTTTGAAATTGCGTGCACATTTCGTTGAAATTCTTTTATAAAGATTTCTTGTAAATGGAAAGATAGCTCAGAACTTTTTTTTTTAAATAAATACTTGTCTGAATCTGCAAGTTTTCAAAAAAAACTTTTCAATACGAATATTTGATATTTCGTAACAGAGATCCGATTCAATATTTCACCCAGCCAATCATACGCTAGAAATTTTTCAACAGCGAAACATTCGTGAAACATTCGTGAAGTCCTTGTGTCACTTGTTGAATAATATCACCACATTTCAACTACTACAAAGTGTTAAAGATCGGGTTTTGTGGGGGTCGATGGTCGCCAATGTCCTGGAAGGATAAGGCACGAGAAAGAAAAAAGAAGAATGTCATTTTGTCAACATTGTAACATATCAGATGATGTATTTTAATTTGATGTTACATCCTTTTTAAACCTTTAAATAAATAAGTTTGTGACATTTATATCAGCCCATTCTGATTTTATTGAAAAATATTTTTTTTACACATTCAAAAACTTTTTTCACATCAACATACACGTGGAAATAGTATAAAAATTTGGATTGATCATCACGCAGCATGGTTTGAAAAAAAAATCCAAGTACTTCATGGCCAACAACCTGGAGAGCGTTGAAAAACAGTACAATGGAGTCTGGCCATCTCGTAAAGGATGATTGTCGCACCAGCATCAAACAACATTTTTTATCCGTGTGGGTAACATGTTTGATGTTAATATGATTTCAGAAAGGTTTCATGTAATGCATGCTATTTTTATTTTCAAATTTGCTAGAAATGCACTTTTTGACAGATTTTATTTAAAAAAACATTTAAAATAAGTTAGTAAATGGATAATAAAATCTAAAATGTATCATTCTCGCATTTATAAAAGCCATAACAATTTTATCAAGAATCAAGTTTGAAATTTTTAGTTTAAATTATTTATTTATTTTCGTTTTTGTTATCATTGTCTATTTTACCAGCGACTCTAAAATGATGAATTATACCTCAAACATCATCATCAATATCATTCATAGCATCAACCATTATCATCAATATTATCATTATCAATACCATTGCCGTAGTTATGGTCATCATCATCATCATCATCGCCATCATCATCACCTGACAGCCACTAAAATAAATTCTTTCAGTTTCAATATAGTCTCACATCACAATTTTTAATTTAAATTTTCATGTTATATTTATCATAATGATATCATATCATCACCATCGTTACCATCATCGTCATTAGTTCAAACATCATCATCATCATCATCATCATCATCATCATCATCATCATCATCATCATCATCATCATCATCATCCTCATCATCATCATCATTATCATCATCGTCGTCGTCATCATCACCATAATCATTATCACCGTCGTCGTCATCGTCGTCATCATCATCATCATTATCATCATCGTCGTTATCATCATCATTATTATTATTATTATTTTTGATTGGCATTAATTTTTATCTTCCACCATTTTTAGCAACAACTAGAAAAAGAATAAAAAAACAAATAAAAGAAAAAAAATGATTAATTTTTTTACTTTTGTCTGTAAAATTTATCTGCCAAAGATAATTGTGAGGCATGAAATGACAATGAAAATAGAAGATGATCTTAAAATAAAACCTGTGCTATGTGCATAATCTTGCTGTGTGGTTGTGGCTGTGGCTGTGTTTGAGGCATTCACTGAGCTACCTACATTACGATTTTATTTTTCTATAATTATTTTGTTACATCTTCACTAAAACTTGCTGTTTAAAAATTTAAATAACTGTTGTTGTTATTGTAGTAGTTGTTGTTGTAGTTGTTGTTATTGTAGTTGTAGTTGTTGTTGTTTTTGTTGTTGTTGTTGTTGTGTTGTTGTTGTGGTTTTTGTTGTAATCGCTCGCTGATCGACCGATCGTTCTCTTCCCAGTCTCTCCAGAATTTCTGTCACCATCTTAGCAGCCTCCATCGAGCGCTCACTCAATTCACCCAGCCGTGCACCGAGACCATACCTCCTTCCCATCTCCTGCATGTTCCGACATTCCATACATGAGCCGGTTTTTATTTATTATGCCAATGCGTGCTCTCTAGTCCCGAAGATTCGTGTGGCGACCAGTTCTAAGACGGCTGAGGTCCGTTCTTGATTGCTTGTCGAGATTCTTCTTATGGATTTTAATGGCTTCTGAATACACTTTTTTTACATCTATCGTGCTGTATATTCTTTTTCGGTACGAACTGATTTATTAATATCTGTGTTATTATGTGTTATTTCATTTAATTGTATTTAGTTTAATCTGTTGGATTTTGGGAGAAACCTGCCTTCTTTTACCGCCTTGTCTACTTCTTCGTTTGCCTCAACTCCGCAATGTCCTGGTATCCAAACTACTGTCACACTTTAAACAACAAACATAAAAAAATTAAAAAATAACTTTTTTTGTTGTGTTTTTTGTGTGCTGTTGTTGTTGTTGCTTGTTGTTGCGTTGTTGATGTTGTTGTTGTTGTGTTGTTGTTGGTGTTATTTTACAATATAAATTTTTCGAAATCTAATTTTTTTTAAATTTTTACATTTTAAAAATGTTATCGTTGCAGTAGAAGTAGACATTGTCAAGCTGCTATTTACAAAAAGTTTTGCAAACTAATTTGACACAAATTATACAAAACTAACCACATTAGAAACTTTTTTTTTCATCATACTAACTTGCATATCCCCTTCGCCATATTGATTTGTATAATATAGCCATATAACACAATGGGGTCTATTATTACCGTATCAGTCACCATTATTACATTAGTTACATTTACATTACAATCATTACATTTGTTGATTCTGTAAACATTGTATGTATAATATCATTACCACAATCTTTCAATCATAATCTATTTATTTTTCAATACTTCTTAACAAATTTTAAACTAACATTCGTATTCAAGTTTTTTATATAGAAAATCATTTTCATTGTCATTATCAAGTTTGTTATTTGTCATCATCACCAGCAGAGCATCGTCATCATCATCGTCGTCGTCGTCATCATCATTATCATCATCATAAACCATCACCATCAGCATTGATCATTATCATTCATTATCATTACAATCATCATCGTCATCATCATCGTCGTCATCATCATCGTCGTCATCATCATCATCATTATCATAAACCATCACCATCAGCATTGATCATCATCATCATTACAATCCTCATCGTCGTCCTCATCGCCATCATCATCCATCATCTATTTTTTCTTAGGTTGTTTTTTTTCAAAAAGTTTCGCAATTTTTTTCTGTAACGAACCAGCTAACATCGATG